TGGGAATAAATCACATCTGAATACAAAATCTCATTTATTTGCAGAGAAATTTGGACAACTGTACTGCCGCCGGAAACGAAAGATGTCTATACGGCCATTTTGGGCGTGACCAAGGCGAGTCGCATCGACGAGGGCGTCTACAGCTGCAAGGTGAGAGATTCGTTAGCTCATTCAGCCGCGAGTTGATTTATATGCCATATATGAGTAAGTAAGTAACTGATTTATAACTTACTTCGCCCGTGAGCCGTCTTCTAGTAAACGTCGGCAGCACACGACACACCGAAAGCCCCCCACCCCTCACCCACCTTAGCTAGCCATAAACATGTTGTTCAAACATCGTTTAATGTTGGCTCGCATCTGGCTGCCGTTGCCGTTGCCGTTGCCGTTGGAACATGTCAATAATTCTTACAAGCCATTTGCGTAATTTGTTATTTGCCAAGCCATGAACACAAAAATGTTTTACCGGCCCGTATTTTTTGGCGGGGAGGCCTAATGGCGCGGAACAGTTTAAAGACTTGGCAAGTGCTATTAAAACCCGAAAATATTCTGCAATTGGCCAACACAAATCCCGCCAAGGACTCAACAGTTGAGCGCATAGATTAAAATTTATTTCAGTGCATACAAAATTGTAAATAAAATGGGGGGTGAGCCACACACATACATACATATACACACTCGCACACAAATCAAAATAACCCAGTTTCAGTCCACTTAATCTTCTCCTCCTTTGGCACTTCGCATATTTTAATTTGGCTAATTAAACGCCACGTTTTGGCGCAAACGAAGGCCTCTGCGGCAAGCACAGAGCCCGGCCAAGTTAAAAGTAATTTTGCGGCATTTTTGAGGATGTTTTATTTTATTTTTGTTTTTTGTTTTTTTTTTATTGTTTGAGTTCCACTTCTTCTGGCCCACCCGCGCGACTCTCTGTTGATATGGCCTGACGCATGGCAATTAAACTGATTAGTCGTCCAGGAGCTCTACTCTTTACGCATTAAAATCCAGCAGCTCAGCATTAAAAACAACACTCCAGAATTGCCCAGACGATTCGAGCTAACAATTTAATTGGGCTTACGAGTGGATTACCTGGCACACATGCTCCCACATAGAGCCACTCGTACAGCCTCCTGCTGAAGCCGTCTGACGCAAATGTCAATTATAATTTTTGAATTCCAGGAACATGAAGACGCAACAAAAATGCCAAAAAGAGAAATTGTCAATTAAAATATATCTAATTAAGTATAGACTCTTTGGCTGGTGAATTATCAAGCTTTGAAAATAAATCCTGAAGAGAGGTTTGCTTTCGCCCTAATTTTTAAATTAATTTAAACAGTCTTGTGTTCCTTAGCCGACAATCTCCTTTTCAACTTTCTTCTTTTAACAAGAATTTAATTATTGCTCTCTTTTGAAGATTGCTGGCAAATAGAAATATATGTACATATGATACATGCATACATACATATCTCTTTATATAATGAAGATTTGTAAGCAATAGAAGCATAAGCATCAGCGTAATAATAGAATATATTCCCTGTAATAGCTTTCAGAAATAGTCTCATTGATTCTCTTACAATTGAGTGATAGTAGATTATGCACAGCGGTCCTTCTTTTAACAGTGTTTCTTCTCTTCTCTTGGCAATTCATTTTATGTTGAGCTTGAGTTCTTTAACAGTTTGATAGCCGATTGACCTGATAGCCATCTCGCTCACACTCTGCAATTCTTCCTACCACAAAACAAAACAAAGAGCTAGAGATTTGTTCACCATTGAGTGATGTTATGTCTCTTAACAGTTGCATTTGACTTCGTCTCTCACTCTCTCTGATACTGTTACACTGTTAAAAGGCACATACCATCACTCAAGCGTAATTGAATGAGTGACAGTTTCAGTCTCTTAACAGAGGACTCCGACTGTCTCACAATCGTGCGCCAATTCACTCACATAACAGTCTTATAGCTCTGTACGAGCTCTCAACGAGCTTATGCAAAATCTGTCAACTTAACAGTGTGAGGTCATGTTGTGCGTGCGCTTTGATCTTTGTATTAAAATTGAGCTGAACTATAACTGTTATTTCTCTTAATGCCAGTGAACCAAATAAAAACGGAAACTGCAATTAATTAATGTCTATACAGCATTTCTCAGAGTCTTCTAAAACAACATAAACGAATATTTAAACATCTTTTTATTTATTTCCTGTTTAAACAATCAGGCCATTAAATTTGGCAAGGCTGTTAAACTAGTTTGGTCCATTTTTGTGTTCCATAGTTGCTCTAGGTTATTAAAGCTGCAATATTTCTTGCTGTTTGAGCTGCACTTTCGGGTCTCAGTGCCATAAATTCATTCGCTTTAAGACCGCAAAGAGCAGCAGCAGCAGTAGAAGCAGCGGCAGAGGCCGAGGCAGCAGCAGCAGCAGCAGCAGCAGCAGCAGCTGTTGCTCGACCGCTAAGCTAACGAGCGAACATTTTCTTAAAGCTTCGCACCAATTGTATTTAATGCCTTGTCCGAGCACTCCGCCGCACACACAGCCCCAATGGGGGTGTTCGTTTGTTGGGCAGTGTTTTCTGGCTCCTGCTCGACGCCCCAACACTTTGTGCGCTTTTACTTTGGGGTCCTCACTTTCTCTCTCTCTCTCTCTCACTCTCCCACTCTACCATTATGCCTTTGGCCGTACGCCTAATGCGCTCCTCTTATTACTGTCGCAGTGTGGTCGTCGTAATGTTGGCATGACATCAAAGGCGAGCACTTCGGGACTGGGCTCGAAGGTAAGGGAACCCCCCTGAAGCCCCCTACTCACAAAGCAGCTGGCTGAGCTTTACGTTAATCAGCGCATTCTGCTCACATTCTTATGCCCCAAACCCATTGAGAATGGGAGTGCAGGGTATACCGGGATTGTTCAAATGACGTGTCATATTTGTATTGATCTTTAAAGAAACAAATCGATATTTTTTGGCTGGCCCCAAATCCATAACCTTCTCTCCAAATTCATAAAAAGTATTTTAAATTTACAACATATGAGTATATACATATATCATATAATATTAGTTCTTCTAACAGTTCAGGGTATCTCGCAGTCGAGCTGATTTGACTAGACCACTCTTGATTTTTCATTATTATTATTTTATTTTCTTTTATTTTTTTGCTCAACGAACGTGCTTAACGTAGAATCCCCAAAGGTTGATTGTTGCCTCCTGCTGCTGCTTCTCCTGCTTCTGTTGACTTAAAACTGAAAAGAAATGAGCGAATCCTTTGCGACTAGCTCCGCCTCGAGCTGCGATTGCTGCGCCGCACGTCAATAATGTGTTTCAGACCCTGTCCCTGTCCGTTAGACGCCGGGGACTTTCTTTTCATATTCTTGAGTCTAACACCCTCACACACACCCATAATAATACCCGCGGGGCTATAAGCCCAATGATTATTTATTTATTGATATTAAGCAGCAATTAGTTCGTTAACTTTGGCAAATGCCTCGAAGCAGCTGACTAACACCTCAACTTTGGCTACTTAGCAGGCAATAAAATACATTAACTTTTCACTCAAGAGCTCAAAATTTGCATAATTACAAAGTAATATTGAAATATTTTAAATATATGTGTGCTTTACCTACAAGCTGAAATTATACAAAATAAACAAATACGAAACGTGTGAAAAACAAACAAGGTAGAGTGAGTTAGATTAAAGTAGATAGAATAGAACTGCTAGACCAGGAGATAGTCTGAAGCTGAGGCGGTGTCCCTTAACTTTCTTAATTAAAGGTTTTCTAAATTAGAGTTTTTTAAGTCTCTCTTAGATATCACTTGCTCTTAGACAATGCAGAGATTAACGAACAAAAGTATACACACTCGCTCTCATTCATAAGAGCATTTGGTTTTCGTCTTCGTGTGAGCGACTTGCCTTGAGCTATTTGCGTGACTCTCTTCGTTTCGAAAGTGATACAGTTAAAGCTCGCACAATGACGCTCAGTAAACGTCTTCCCTCTCATATACACATTTACACATTCACACTCACGTACGCTGTTGATGTGTCTCGCTCACGATTGAGTGATAATGTCTTTTAACAGTGACCGTCGCATACAACGAACTGTGTATGTGTATGTGAGAGCCGCTGTTAAAAGACACTCAATATGTGCAAGACATTTTGATAAATTGAGCTCAAAGAAAGACTAACAAGGAGTAAGGAGTAAGAAAGGTAAATCCGAAAGAACGAAACGTTTTGCTTCTGTGCGCGATCGTTCAGTCGCACTCAGACTTTTTGCTCAAACTGTGAGTGCAGATCACATATACACATGTATGTGTGTATGTACATATTTGCGGACTTCGAGAAACACTTGACAGAGGTGTGTAATATGTGTCCATACATACATATGTATGTATGCATTTTCATTGCCAGACTTACGTTTTGCTTATTAATCAAAGAGCGACTTTGGAGCCCAATAGAGACAGAAATTGAAAGCAACAACTACAAAAGTTATAAAATAAAGTTAAATTTGTTGTCCTACTTATCAAAGACACTAATGTGACTTATTCCCATTCTCACAAATTGCCATTAGTTTAATGTACCTCCCCATAAAATTGATAGCTAAATAACAACAGAAAAGAAACGTAAAACTATCTCTAGTGCCGTTGCAGTTCCAATACAAATTGCATTGGAAAAATATATATAAAGTAGAGAAAAAATTAAATGCTTTATCTGGACTCAGCTCAGCTTCTTCGTCGCCTTCGTCGTGCTCTTCGTCTTCTTCTTCAACATCTTGGTGTCATGCACTTTTCAGTTCGTAAAACCACTTTTATCTGGCCGACTATAAAAGGCAGCAATTTTCAAGCATCGGCATCATTAACATTGCAAATTTCTGTGGCATGAGCATGTTGCTCCTTAGCCATTTGGCGCAGAGCATTTTATTGGCCAAAGCGAGCTTAGACTAGAGACTAAATGACATTAGCCATACACGTACAATGTGCGGTTTAACGACTTCGACTGTTAATGAGTCGCAGCTTACAGATACAATCGTTTGATAGGAGGAGGGAGCAGATGGTAGGTGCGAGGTGGGAGGAGATGTTAGGTAGGGATAAACCCACCGCCTTCAGGCAGTAAAATCGCATTAGATCATAAAATGGCGAAGCTGTCGCTGGATTTGAGCTGTTCGCCAAATGAGTTAATTGCCAATTGGATTTTGTGGCTGGCAAGGATTTGTTGACGTTGCACTGTCGTAAAAGCATATCCAATGTAAAGGGCAGCCCCAACGCTCCCACTCTCAGCTGTTGGAATCGTGGCATGAATTTAAAACTCAACTTGAATTTGAAATGCCATAAAAGGAATATCATCGATTTGCTTGCGCCCAAACTTCTGTCTATCAAATGATTCCGGCTCAGTTGCAACAAAGTGCCGCTGCCGGAGCCGTAACCGGAGCCGGAGACGGAGCAGACACGGTCACAGACACAGACACAAAGGCAAAGGCAACAGCAGTCTCGATGCCTGCCACATGCCGGCGTTGAGGACCCCGAGGTGTGATCCTGGCGTTGCACAGTGGGGCCTTTGCCTAATCTGCATTGCATAAATATTTGCTAGCTAAAAATTATATATACATTATAATCTGTTAACTTGTTTCGTTTTTTTGTCATTATAAGAAATATTTAGAGTTGGCAAATGAGTCTATGCACAGGGCTTGGTCAACAGGATGCTTCACGGCTTTCTGATAAGCCAGAGAAATTTCTTTTGGAGAATCTTTACCTAGCCAGACTATAAATATCTCAGTTGAAAAGCTTTAATCACTGTATAAAATTAAATTTTACCACAAGCTTTATATGATTGTTAAATTAATATTCAAGGGAAACAAAACTCAATATAATAAAAAAATAAATAAATAAAATACTATAAAAAATAAATAAATAAAATAAAATAGTAATAATAAAACATATATAAATAAATACAAATTTATAACTTGTTGAAAAATAATATATACTATAAATATTTCTATATATGTATCTGATAAATTCTCCATTGGATTCTATAATCCACTTGATTTTCGCCACATATTGCGGGCAGCGGTCCCACTGTGCATTGCCGCTCGTTAGTTTGTCTCCATTTTTAAAAATTTGAAACGGATGCTCACAGAGAAAAGCAGCAACATCATCATCATCATCATCATCATCACCATCATCATAATCAACATTATCCTAATGCCCGGTAGGAGCTATGCAGCTCACATTGTATTCCCTGGGTGCAGCTGCAACTAGAGCTCCAAGTGCAGCATGTTTGCGCCAGATGACAGCCAAAGCTGTTCGCTTTAAGTAGCCACGGAATCGGGTTAGCCCCCGCCGCCGAGTGCCTTAACGGCTTAGACACCCATCACATATCCATTCAGCACACGCGCCCACGCCTCGTGCAATCAGACAATGTCAGATCCAATCAGCTGCTGGCCAGAGAGTGGGCCAGGAGCAGTCTATTAAATTCGAGTAAACGCTTGGGCAGCAATTGTTGACACATGGCAAATACTGGCAAAGAGTCGCCTACGAAAAGGACAACTGCAAAAGGCTCAGCGCCATCTGTGTGCAGAGCTCAAACATTGCTCTGGGTAATATTGTTGTTGTTGATGCTTATCAGGCTGAAGAAACTGTGCATGTATGTCGTCACTTGGCTAAATTCTCGTCTCCTCCTCAGGTCACCGACTGGGGCGTCGAGCAGTGCCGCTCGCTGCACATCCACATCAAGAGTCCGCCCCGGCTGAGGGTGGATCCGGCCAGCGTGACGCTGCAGCGCGGCGACTCGCTGCGGGTGCGCTGCCTGTCGCCGGGCAACGACGACATCAAGCGGTATGCCCAGCTGGGCTACAGCTGGACGCGCAACGGGGTGCTCTTCCAGTCGGACGCTGCGACGGCCATGTGGGAGGATCTCTACCCGGACGGCAGCATTCTGAAGATCAACAACATTCAGAAGTCGGCGGAGTACGCCTGCCTCGTGTCGAACAGCGTGCGGCCGGTGTCGCGCAGCGTCTACATCAACGTCATCGAACGGAATGCTGTCCACGTCTGCCTGGCCGAGTCCAGCTTTGGCGTCCATTGGCCCACCAGTGCACCGGGCGCACCCATCATCACCGACTGTCCGCGCGGCTTCGAGGGGCACTCGCACCGCATCTGCGAGCAGCGGGACAACGCCGGCAACTCCAGCTGGCTCCTGCCGGACTTCTCCAGCTGCGTGCGGGACGAGCTGCTGCTCATCTACAATCGATTCAGAGCTCTCAGCGCGGGATTCCAGCAAACGAACTCCTCGAACATACTGAAGGCCTGCTTCGAGTACACGCTCCAGCGGCGACAGAGCTTCCTGCCCGGCGAGGCGAGCTTCCTCATCGACATGCTGCACGAGGTAAGTGCGAGTCTATGTATCTATGTGAGGGGCTGATAAGTATTTATGCCTGTACGAATTGCGCCCGTGTGACCTCCATATCTCTAGCTTGTCGGTGGAGCAAAGTTTATGCAGATTTATGAGAGCACTGGTTACGCCTTCCTCGGAGATTCTCACGATTGCCACTTGAGCTGCTGCGGCACTTTGTCTTACCGAAATTGCATAATATTGTAAGGAGAGAAAAGTTTTTACTGCTTTTCGTATTCCCCAAATTCAATTTTAAGCAACTGGTATCAGAGCGCACGGGACACACCGCAAAAAAAATAAAGCAAAATAAAATAAGAGAAACTCTTGAACACACTTAAGCCTTGGCGCTGGCAAAGCGCAAAAACAGCTCAAAGCGTTACAAACTACCTGGACCTTAAGATCCATCGCCACCGCCTCGAGAGGCGAGCCGAGTCGAGGCGAAAAGACTCTACAAACAAGCTTGCCAAACTATTTTTACACGTAAATGAATGCAAGAAAAGCTGACTGAGCCGAGGGCGTGGCGAGCAGTGGAGCAGTGGAGCAGCTGAGCGAGTGGGCGCCTTGCAATTTTTCACACAATTTTCACAGCCAAGCTACAGTCAAAGAAAAGTTTGCTCCGGGCCGCATGGCAACAATTTTTCATTTTAATGCGCACACAAATTTCCCGCCTAACGAATGGCCATAAAGAGTTTTTCGGGAGTCGCTTTTTATGCACTGAACCCATTGAAAATTGGAAATCAGGGGTATACGGATTTTCCGAAGGTGTATGTGACAGGCAGAACGATGGATCTGCATGAGGGCGACTAAATGAGTCGATATAGCAGTGTCAGTGTGAGGATCCCTTCGTCCGCCCTTCTATTATCCTATCAGGCCAATCTCTGTCTCTGCGTCAACTGCGCAGTAAGCAGAGCGTGTCTCTATGATATAAAATATATATCTTAAGATTTGTAGCATAGTAAAGAATCATAGAATTATTAGAGCAATAGCTCTTTAGCTGATTTCAGGGTATCTGCCAGTCTGGCAGACTCCAGCTTGCCTCTCTTTTTCCTGGTTTCGGTTTTATTTTGGTATTTCGCTTATTGCTGGGCACTTGTCTCTGTTGCTGCTGCTGCTGCTGCTGCTGCTGATGCTTGACTATTTGCTTGCCTATTTTGCAGCTCGACACCTATTTGCAGCTGAAGGGCACACAACTGGAGCGTGAGATGGCGGCGGAGATAATACTCCGGATACTGGATAAAGTCATGCAGAATGCGCAATCCCTGAACAGTCAACAGGTAAGCTGACAGACAAAGTCTACGTGGGCATACATATACAGTGTACAGTGTGCAGTGCAGTGCCTCATGCCGTCGGCCCCTCCCTAAATGGAGGCGTGGCCAGGCTGGCACTCGGGCTGCACTCGTGCATAAATTATGCGAAAAGAGGCAGCCGAGCGTTCGGGTGTCATAATTTATAACCTACAGCTATATTCAATATTTGCCAGCCTGCTTTTGTGGCACTCGCCATCGCCCTCTCCCTCTGGCTACCTCTCCCTCCCAGATTTATTGCACAGAGACTCTAAATTGGACTGGCAAGCCTTATTGTACGTTCGGCAGGCACATATATATTATTTTGTGGTTCTACTTTTATTTAGCTTGTAGCCGGGCCACAATTTACATTTGTCTGCCGCACACACATGGTGGCTCACTGAGCCAGCCACGGAATTGATGTTCATGTTTGCGGGTAATAAATACCTTCTACGAAATCCAAGTATTTCAGCTTTCTTCGCTGAAAAGGTCAATTTGTTGTAGTATCTAGGCCAGCCAACGGGGAAATGGAAGTGGAGCCGCAACGCCAAGTGGGGCTGAGTGTGTTGGGTCAATAATGTATTAGGCATTGGCCATCATATCATTCAGCTAAACGAGCTCATGCTATTTTATTTATGCTTTACACACATACAAATTGTATGCAATAAATTAATATAAAAAATAATAAAACATAGCAAATGAATATAAAGTAAATATAGAAAATAAAATAAAAATAATGTTTAATAAAATAAATACACAATAATTGAAATAAATAAAATAAAAAATAAAAAAAAAATAAATAAAATAAAAAATAAAATAAATAAAATAATGAAAAAATTAAAAAAAGAAACCCTTATCAAATAAAACAATAAAAAATAAATAAATAAAGCGAAATAATAATACTAATCAAATAAAATAACAAATAGACAAATAATACAAATTAATAGGTAATATTAATAAAAAATTATGTTAAATAAAAAATTAATAGATGATTAAAATTAAAAATAAGATTAATTAAACAATATGAATACAAAACTATAAGTTAAAATATAAAATAAATAAATAAATAATTGATTAAAATTAAAAAAAAATAAATTAATTAATTAAGCAATATGAATACAAAATTTAAAGTTAAACTTATATAATATATGTATATAAATAATGAAAAAAAAAACTCAAAATTAAATAAGTATATACTGAATTTTTATAATTAAAAAAAAAAAATAAAATAAATTCAACTAGATGATTAGACTTTAAATAAAAAATTAAATATATAAATAAATGAAAATATAAAAAACAAACACCACTTCTTAGATATCAGATATCTAAGCAATAATGTTGGTTTATATATCAATCTACTTGAGGCTAAAATTGTTGAATATAAGTGAATATGAATATAAATATAAATATATGAAAGAACTTGTTGCTTCTGATCCTGACGTCGCCTATTGAATATGCATATGTATATATAGATAATTACATTTATTTCGTGCCTAATAAATCAAGTAAATCAAGATGCTCTTTCGCGTCGATTTTCCCACATTTCGAGTGCTCTTCGTTCATTTCACTCGACTATCGCTCTTTCTGAGCACTCGAATATGCCAACAACTTTGTTGTTAATTAGCGGCCATCAAAACTGCGCACTTATGAGCCCGGCTAATGAGCCTTTCTCGCCGCTTCTCATGACAGCTGACTGAGCCACAAAACAATAAACATTGCCGCTTCCTGGCGGCTGGCCACAGACAAAGAGCGAAGCAGCCCACTCCCTACTCAGATGATGGAGATGATGATGATAAAAAGGTGTGCTTCCCCTCTGGTCTTAACGCTCAGCCAGTGTCCTTGGTGGTGGGTGGGGCTCAGTGGAGCTTGCCCTTTCCACTCGACTCGACAAGACGAACCGAGCGTCTTTCGCGTCGCACACTTCACTTACTTAAGTTTTTAAGTGGGCAGGCGTTGGAAGCTACGCTCTGCCGAGGCTCATGTTTTATTCCTTGAGCACACTTTGTTTTCGCGAAGTACGGCATAAAAGTAACAGCAGCAGGAGCAGATGAAGCAGCAGCAGCAGCAGCAGCAGCAGAAGGAGCATGGAAGGAAGCCGCCAGTTGTATGGCACATGCATCAAGACTCAAATATTGGTATGCAAATTTATGTGAGTGTTGATTGCAGCTGTTGGCAGTATTATATTGAGCGCTGGCATTAAGAGCTCGCCTCGCTCTTAAAGCAACGAGGCCGTCTCAATGTCAAGGACCTCGGAGGCGCAACTTCCTAAACGAGCCCAACTATGCGGCATTAAATATGAAGTGTCTGCTCGAACGAACTAGCCCCGTTTTAATATTCATCGCTCCTGGATCTTGTGGCACGCACGGAAATTAAGTAAGTTTTTACTTAAGACTTAAGAGGCGGCAAGACGGCGACTGCAGCGAAAACTTTTTAATGCGCTGAAATTAATTTTGTTTGTGACGCAGTTCAAGCTCAGCTATGGCATTTCGATATTATGCGCCACATGAGTCGGAAACTTTATCCCCTGCTTTTATGTTAAATTTTTATTAGCTGACGAAGCGCTGGAGGAGAAATAAAAACCTTGCCTTCATAATTGGGTTGATTAAAAGCCAGCATTTCTCAACTTTTTCCAACTTGCCAAATAGTTGGCATCGCTCTTATTTACTCGGCCCAAACTTTAAGCTAGTTACAAATACTTTACTCCTCACTCTCTCTCTCTCTCTCTGTCCCTCATGTTTGTATAGACTTTTAATTAGCAAAACTCAAGGTAAAATTGATTTTTAATTGCACCCAAGTAAGGAGAGAATAGTTCAATACCTTAAGTTGAAGCCCGAAAGGCAGAAAATCAAATTGAAAGTTGTTCAGCTTGATTTTAACGCAATTTTCGTATAGGTATATGGGAGTATGCAAACTTACACAGCTCAAAAGTTTTGCTCTCAGTTTATTGAGACCCTTAAAAGGGAAGCTTAATGCATGGAATAATAGATCTTAGTTATGCAGAATAATCTTTGCGAATTTCGAGGCAGAAGTACACACATTGTACTCTATTTTCCTCATAGATTACAATTTCAAATAATTAAATGAATAAAATTTGTATTTATTAATGATTTATTCAAATAGAAGCAGAAGAATGTTTTTCCTAATTTTATATACTTCAAATTTCAATGTATTTATAATTTATTCATTTACAATGCTAAATACATATTCTAAAAACATTTCGTATTTAATTCATAATTCAAATAATTCGAATAACTCAAATTTAAACCTATTAATAATTCACTCAAAGAAAAGCAGAAGAAAAATGTTTTGCTATATTTTATACACTATTTATTTATTGCCCTATTTGAATTTGAATTTTGTTAAAAATGAACTCATTTGTTTATTTTCTCTGATTGCAATCACATTTCAAATTATTCAACAATTCAAATTTATTAAGACTTCACTCAACGAATATTTTCGATTTGATAGCAAAACTGAATTTCCTACTAGATTTCTTTTACTTGTTTTAGTCTATGAAGAAAACGAATGGGAGTAATACATATTGCAAAATCTATAATTCAGCAGCTGTTTGAGTTGTTCTTCAGATGTTGAAATAATAAAGATTATTTGTCATTTGACACGTGCCCAAAACGTGAAAATAGTTTATAGAAAATGATTGAATTCTCTGAGGAAATGAATTCAGTTGCACTTCTGTTGTTGCTTTATTGGCAAGTGATGTACTTGAAGTTGTCATTGAAAACTCTAGCGACTTCTTTATTCCCCTTGTCAAAACTTTATTAACAGCTCAACTTAGGCTGCAGCTGCTCAGTTGATGCTGACAGATAAAGTTAAATCCTTTTCCAGGTAACTATTCCGAAAGTGTATTCCATATTTTAATGAAATATAACACGTTATGGCAAACTGTTCTTAGATTTGAGAAGCGTCTCCTGCTATTTAAACTGTTCATTAAATGAGAAAATTATTCGTTACAAAATATATACATATAATTTATTTTAATTATAAAAAAATATATTAAATTTATATAGATTATAAATTTATATAATATATACATAATTATATGATTTATATAATTTTATTTCGAACTCTCTTTCACATATATGTGAAACTCTCGACTCTATTTTGTAATACCTTTTATTATTATTAATGAAAAAGTTGCAACGAAATGGAAATCCATGCGCAAGGTATAAAATTTAATATTTGTGCAGAGTGAAACATAATTCTGTTGCTTGTTTAAGGCCCTCAACGTGTTATCAATAATTCAAACTATATATATATGTGCATACAATCGAGTTGAACAAATTGCAGAGAGTTGATGTATTACCAATTTATTATCGTATTTAAATTGAGCTGTCGCCGGGCCGGGCCTATCATTGGGACTGTTGACAATTTGCAATGTCAATGGCATTCCGGGATCTCGATTGCATTTCATTTGGCTTAAACACATTTGCATTTACTTTGCCTGATTAACATTGATTTCGGTTTGCACTTTGCATTGCATTGCAATTGAAAAACTTTGCCGGGTTGGGCAAAAAAAAAAAAAAGAAGAACTTTCCAAATGGCAGAGTCGTTCGAGTTTTTCAATTGCATTTCAATATTAGAATCCAAAAGTTTATTAATATGTACGATCCGAACTTTCAATGCAGATTGCCTCATTACGGGGCCAAGTGAAAACCAAATGGCAAACAAAGTTAACTGACCCAGTTTCTAGATGCTTATCGACTGCCCCCAGCGGCCCCGAGAGTTCTCCATAATATCTAACCGACATCATTAAATAATCGAATTAAATTCTTAAATTCATATCTGGCATGAGTAACTATTAGAAGCCGAATGACTCTGATTATATGGGCAGTTTGACCAGCGAACTTTTGCCTGCCAGCAGAGAAAGCCCAGCTATTCGTATTTGGCCTATTCAGAAATCAAATTCACAAAGTTCACGACAAATCACTTTGCGGAGCAAACGTACAAAAATAAAAGTAAAAACGTGCTCTAAAGTCGCTAGCTAACTTTCAAATCAGCAAGAAAACTTTTGCACACACAAACACACACACGCATACACATGTGAATGGGCTGACTGGCACATGTGGCACGCCCACACAGTTGAACGCCCCAGTGATTTGACGGTAAACTGTGCAACGTGGCCAGGTCGGAATTCGTATTTAAAACTTTTCCTTTACATTTTTTTCGCAGCATTTCTGCCCATGTCTTTAAACAAACGCCCCAATTTGCATAGGCGTAGAGGCCAGAGGGGGTCCAGAGGGAGCGGCCACGAACAACAAATATCACATCATGCTTGACTGATGTTACAAAACTTTTTTGTTTCTTTTATTTGGATTTCTATTTTTATTTCTGCAACGAAAAAGTTTTCCAATTGAAATTGTTTCTGCTCTCGATTGCACATGTTTGACTTTATAAATTTATGCTTATGTTCTCTAGGAGGAAAAAGCAGCCAGCAGATAGACTTAGACGCTTCTCGGACAATTGTAATATTTGATTTGAACAGGAAATTGCGCCATGACAGCAGAAAATTCCTTGCAAAAAACAATGCCAATGGAAATTACACTGTAATGGAGCTGTTATTAGAGTCTAAGCAAATAGATTCATGGGTTCATTGACCGATTTTAAGACTGGGTCAGAATTGAAAATTGAGTACTCGAAGTTGTAGTTTTTTTTGTTTGCCAAACTATTAACTTGGGAACTTTGGCTTTGAGTTACAGAATAAATATAATATAAAATATAATATATAAAATATAAAATATAGAATATAAAATATAAAATATAAAATATAGAATATAAAATATAAAATATAAAATATAAAATATAAAATATAAAATATAAAATATA